AAACCCTAGAACCCTAAAGCCCGAAAGCCCTAAAACCCAAAAGCCCTAAAAACCCTAAAACCCGAGAAAACCCCAAAGCCCTAAAACCCTAAAGCCCTAAAGCCCTAAAACCCTAAAAACCCTAAAACCCTACAGCCCTAAACCCCAAAAGCCCCAAAACCATAAAAAAACCCTAGAGCCCTAAGCCCAAAGCCCTGCTGGCAACTCGGAGGAGGTCGGTGGAGAGCTGGTGGAGTACGGAGCGATCGACTACCGACACCTCGGCTCTTCGCTCCCACTTGGGGGGGGTTTACTTCGGAAGAATGAGGGTTTAGGGTTTAGGAGGGTTGAGGGTTTGGGGCTTAGGGTTTGGGGTTGAGGGTTTGGGGTTGAGGGTTTGGGGTTGAGGGTTTGGGGGTTTAGGGTTTGCGGTTGAGGGTTTGGGGTTTGGGGTTGAGGGTTTAGGGTTTCGGGTTTAGGGTTTAGGAGGGTTTAGGGTTTAGGGTCTGGGGTTCAGAATTTAGCGTTTAGGGTTTCGGGTTTGGGGTCTAGAATTTAGGGTTTGGGGTTTGGGGTGTTGAATTTAGGGTTTAGGGTGTGGGGTTTACATGAGTTCCCTTGCTTTGTGGTGGGTTGCTACATTGAGGCTTCGACTACGCAGTGGTCTACGCAAGGGTCACTTTCTTCCTGGATGTCTCATCCTCTCCATTGAAAGATTAGCCCGAAAGGCCAGTGTTCGGGTGCTTCTTCTCCCTACTACAACCGGGTTATAGGGTGTAGGGTTTTGGGTGCTTTATTGCCTTTCAAGTTCATCCGTTGCAGAAGTCTTGTATATTTCACTGAAGCCCCACAGCAACGAATTAGGGGATATCCAGAAAGTATGATACAGGGCTTCTTATTATTGCAAAAACCTTCCCCGCCCCAGAAGTTACAGGGCATAGGGATTCCTGTCAGTATTTCAAGATGTCCCTGAAATTTAGGGATATACCTGGGTCTCTGGGACGGGCCCTACACCCTAAACCCTACACCTTAAACCCCAAACCCTAGGCCCTAAACCCCAAAGCCTAGACCCTAAACCCTAAACCCTAAAAGCCCCTAAAGATCCCTTTGAAAGGAACCCTTATAGTACCCTTTAAAGGAACCCTTATAGTACCCTTTAAAGGACCTTCCTTGAGCTCAGAGGATCGGCCCTCTTCCCGCTCTTCGCGTTTCGTTCGGCGGCCTGGGATGCGGCGCTGCCGATGGCTGTGGTCACTGGTGGGGTGCATGGCCGCTTGCTTAGGGTTAGGGGGTTAGGGTTAGGGTTTAGGGTTTAGGGTTTAGGGTTAGGGCTTAGGGTTTCGGGTTTAGGGTTTAGGGTTTAGGTCGATGAGAATTTTTTTGTGGGGCCATGGTCAGGCTCTTTCAGCCCCACCTGCAGCACTGCCCAAGAAAGCCCGAAGCTAAACAAAACCCCCAAGATCCCTGGAGCGCAGGGAGGTGGTTTAGGGTTGATAGCCCTGGGCACAAACTCACCAACCCTAAACCCTAAACCCTAAACCCTAAACCCTAAACCCTGAGCTTCAGGGGCCGAAGGGTTTGAGGAGCCACGATCCGAACCGATAAGGCCGAAAGCTCAACACGGCCCTAAATCCTAAACTCCACGCAAACCCCCACATCGAGAGCCACGAGGCCTTCAACGTCAATCAGAAGTTTCGTCCCCGCTTGAGGTGAGTCCAAACCTCATAAAACCCTGCACCCTCCACTTTCTGAGGCCTAAAGCCCTAAAACCTTCAACGCTGAAGACCCAAAAAAAGCCCTAAGTCCCCAAACCCCTAATTGGCCCTTAGAAAGACCCTTACAGAACCGCCTTCCCAAGCCCCTGATCACGATTCGTAAGAACTCAGAACTACGGTTGATGATATAAATCCTGCAGTACCCATAATAAGGCATATGCCACAATTCCCATAGTTTAGGGTCCTTCAGGTAATGCAGGATATATATCATCAACAGTATGGAGTCTTGTAGTCATACCGCCCTTAAGCCCTATGTAATTATATGCCAAAACCCTACCCTGATTATTGAGGCCCTGAAAGGACGTCTCTTGCATCCCGGAAAGCCCTGAGGCTACGAGCTTGGAAGCCTGGGTGCCATGGAGTTCATCGCACGGCACTTCCAAGCCTTCGTCGCCCAGAAGCTGGGTTCAGGGAGTTGAAGGAATTAGGGTTTAGCGTTTAGGGTTTTGGGTTCAGGGTTCAGGGTTTAGGGTTCAGGGTTTGGGGTTTAGGGTTCAGGGTATGGGGTTTGGGGTTCAGGTTTTAGGATTTAGGGTTTAGGAAGGCTTTGGGGTTTTGGGTTTAGGGGACTGGGGTCTAGGGGTGTGGGGTTTTAAATGGATTTAAGGCGTTGGGGTTTCGGGTTTAAGGGCTTGGGGTCTAGGGGTGTGGGGTACCTAAGGTTTAGTATTTAGGGGTGCAAGGGGTTTGTTTGGGCCACGGGGGGCTTGGGTTTAGGTTTAGGGGTTGGGTTCAAGTTCAGGAAATTATTTTTTAAGGACGGCATCAGTTTGAGCGTTTCATGAGGCATTGTTGGGGAAGCTTGCGGGGTTTCACAGCCTTTTCAAGGGCTTTGGGGCTTTAATAGGATCCAAACTGATATCCGTCCTAGGCCCCCATCTTGCTGAAGCCCCGACAGGTTGATTTACGGCCTTAGGGTTTATGGCCTTAGGGCTCAGGGTTTTGGGTTTACGACCTTAGGGTTTAGGGTCTAGGGGGCCTGTCACTTCAAAGAGCTCAGGAAATCCGTGAATCTCCTGCTCCTGCCCTGTGTGGCGCCCTGGGGCCTGGAGATGTGCGGCTCTGCTGCACCAGCCGAACCCTGCACGCTGAGCCATGGTCAGTATGCCGACATTAGATCATACATTGCTGTTGCGGATTGGATGTCTTGTTCGCGTCCGTGTTAGGCCCTCCGGTACGTCTTAAAGCATCAAACTAAATCCTGCAAAATCCTGAAGCCCAAACAAAAAGCACTACAACGACATGTTAGAAGACACCAAATTCCTATCACACCATCCTTACATCATCCTGCTCTGCCCGGACGCCAGCCTCTTCTGATACTACCGAAACTGCCAACTTCGGCATTACTTGCTCAGTGCCCCTGAGTATTGATACCTGTCATAGCTTCTACCCTAAACCCTAAACCCTAAACCCTAAACCGTTTTCGCCTGTCGCGGGCTTGGAATCGACAGAAGACGGACAAAGGCCTCCCATGAGCCCGCAGCATGACCGTCGTAAACCCAACACCTACGGTTTAGGGTTTAGGGGTTTAGGGTTTTAGGGTTTAGGGGTTTAGGGTTTAGGGTTTAGGGTTTAGGGACTAGAAGCACTTGCACTTATGCTTGTTTGCTTTACAACCGTTGAACAGCAGGCAGAACGGGCACCTTTGCTGTTAAGCAGGGCACCTGGACTACAACCCTTAAACCCCCAGCCCTAAGCCTTAAACCCTAAAGCCCGAGCCCTAAAACCCTAAATCCCTAAAGCCCTAAACCCTAAACCCTGAGCCCTCCAATCCCTAAGCCGGAATTAATGCCCGAACTGCGGACCGATCCCCAGGCGAGCGCTGGACGCCCATGGCGGTGGATCCGAACCGGGCCTTCAAGCCCGATGGGCAAAGCGAGGAGCAGAGACACTCTGGGCGCATGGGTTCGGAGGTTAAGGTGTAAACATATGTACATATATATATACACATATATATATACATATATATATATACATATATATACACATACATATATATACAGAACTATCTATATCTATCTACATCTATCTACATCTATCTATATCTATATCTATATCTATATCCATAGCTATATCTATGTCTATATCCATATCCATAGCTATATCTATCTCACTATCTCTATCTCTCTATCTCTCTATCTCTCTATCTGTCTATCTCTCTATCTCTCTATCTATCTATCTATCTATCTATCTATCTATCTATATTATATATGTATTATATATGTATTATATATGTATTATATATGTATTATATATGTATTATATATGTATTATGCTTTTTCCCCTACGTGTCGCTAACGGTGTAACTAGACCCTAAGCCGCCTAAGCCCTAAACCTTAAACGCCGCAAGCCTTAAATCCCTATGATATTTACCCCTAAACCCTAAACCCTAAGCCCTAAACCCTAAACAGCCGAAACCCTAAACCCTAAGCCCTTACCCCTAAACCCTACACCCTTACCCCTACATCCTACACCCTTACCCCTAAACCCCCAAAAGAGCCCTCAGTCCCAGCCGCTGAAGCACGGAGCGAGAGACCTCGTACTTTTCCCCGCTGCCAGGAGGCCACGTTAGCCATGAAGTGCATTGCGGAGCATCGCGGAAGGTATGGGTTTCCGAAACTAGGGGGCTAGGGTTTAGGGTTTAGGGTTTAGGGCTTAGGGTTTAGGGTTTAGGGTTTAGGGTTTAGGGCCCAATAGAGTAGCCTAAGTAGGCAGGATCCTGATTCTAAGGACCCCCCAAAATAAGGTAACCCTAAAAATCGGAAACTCCCAGGTCGAAATTCCTGCTCCTTCATGTGGATCTTCATGAAACCACAGACACCGACAACACCGAGTTCACCCCAGCTCGCTTTGCGCGCGATGGCCTCACCGAAGACAAGTACGAGGAGTGGCCGCCCGGAGAACATTGGACCGGGTTCAGAGATCAGGGTATAGAATAATATACTATAATAGACTATAATATACTATAATAATATACTATAATATACCATATACTAAGGTTTAGTTTAGGCTTCCACATTTTTTGAGGGTGATAGCCGCAAGGCTTCTAGCGCTGTAGGTACGACATCCCCGATGGATTCTATATCTATGGGGATTCGGCGCGTGAGAAAGACCAGCTCGAGTTTTCAAAGCACATCATCGCGGCTGTGGAGAAGGCCTTCCTCGAGTTCCTTTAAGGGCTCCTTTAATTTACGGCGTCCTTTAAGGGTTTCTTTATGGGATCCTTTTCTTAAAGGTTCCATGAAGGGCTACTGGAAGCTTGCCTTGAACGGGGTCCTGTGAGTAATCCTTTGAGGGCTCATTTAAGGGGTTCGCTTACGGGTTACTCGTCTGGTGCTCCGCAGGTTTGTTGGCCGCAGCGGTATCCGCAACATCCCCAGACACATATCTTTAAGGGGCCCCCCCGACCCTGGTCTGCTTCTTAAAGCCCCAAGAGTTTATCAGTATCCAAGCGTCTAAAGAATCCGTCAGCCCAAAGAGTCCAGAATTCTCATGGCTGATCCCTGAAGGTTCGGCTTGGCGTTGAGAGCTTAGGGGTTAGGATAATCATCGTAACCGTACAAGGCTTCTCAGCAAGAAGCACTTCATTGATGTGTCGGTTTTCTGAATAATTTAAGAAGTAAGAAGCACTAAGAAGTGGACAAAGGGTTCATGGACTTCTTGATTGATAGATCTTGGAGTAAACCCTAAACCGTAAACCCTAAACCCTAAACCCTAAACCCTAAAGTGTCCGGGCAGGTGACGCACATCGCAGCGGCCGACGACCGGGGGAAGATCGTGGGCGAAGCCATCGCTGCACCTGGGGTTCTGCTGGCCCCTGGGGAGGGTACGGCCGATGCACACACGGATGCCATGTACGTGACCACCACGGAGGTGGGGGCTGCTCTTCATTTGTAGTTTCAGGGTTCGGGATTAAAAGCTACGACTTAAAACTCAAGAACTCGAAACCTAAAGCCTAAACCTCATACCCCTAAACCCTAAACCCCAGATCCTAAACCCCCAAATCCCAACAAAAAACCCTTCAACCCGAACTTCCGGCCAGGTCTACCCGGACTCGCAAAGGACCAGCCGCGAGGAGTGCAACCGAGCCCAGGCCCGGTCTTCTTCTTTTCGAAGAGCCCAAGATCCTAGGTTTGGGGTTTAGGGTTTAGGGTTCCTAGGTTTAGGGTGTAGGGTTTAGGGTTTAGGGTTTAGGGTGTAGGGTTTGGGGATTAGGGTTTAGGGTTTAGGGTTTAGGGTTTAGGGGAGACCCCTTAAAGGGGACCCTTCTTAACCCTGCTTTTGGCTCTCTTAAAAGGGACAATATTGAGAGGGTCTATGTCCCCAAGGGTCTAGGAGCTTTTAAGGTTTAGGGCTTAGGGTTTAGGGTTTAGAGTTGAAGGGTTCAGAGTTGAAGTGTTTAGTGTTCAGGGTTTAGGGTTTAGAGCTACTTTCTGTAAAGGATTCCTAGCAAACGACTAGGGCTTAAGGACTCACGTACCCTGAAACCCCAAAGCCCAACGCTGAAACCCACAACTGGCAATCTTGGCTCAGGCTGCGGCCATCGTAGCTGGGTTAGAGTTTGCCCTCGCGCACCAGGACTGAGCTTGCTGATGCGTGGCCTACTCGGCAGACCGGGTAAAACTCAGCAAGCGCCATGGTAAACCGTTAAAACCGTATATATGTATATATATATATATACATATATATATACATACATATATATATATATATGTATATATATATATGTATATATATATATATGATCATATTCATATATATATATACACACATGTACATATATGTAACGTAGCACAAATAAATACACAAATGAACAAATCAGTAGCTAAATAGACAGATAAAGGAGTAAATGTCCCATCACATGACTAACTAAGCAGATCAATAAGTAGATATACAAACGTCTGTAGATACACACATGTATGGAGAAATGATTCAACAAATGCCTCAGCTCACCAGTCTGTGCAGCTGTGCTGAGTCAATGCCCCTAGGGTCTAGGGTTTACGGCAAGATCCCTGTAATTCCGTGGTGTTCTGGTGCCTGGGGTTTAGGGTGTAGGGCCTCGCGGGTGGTAGCCAGCTTGCTGAGGCAGGAGTACTGCCCAGTCGAGACCTGTGCTCCGCGCAAATCGAAAAAAAGTGTAGGGGGTTTCTTAGATAAGGGATACCTTAGATATGGGATACCCCTAAACCCTAAACCCTAAACCCCAAACCCTAAACCCTAAACCCTAAACCCTAAAACCTTACCTTAGTCACCTTAGCCTTTTCGGGGTCGTCCTATGAAGAGGATCTTGATGCTTCTGGTCTAGACATGTCTAGACAAGCGATCTTGCTGCTTTGGGTCGAGACAAGCTCCGTGAGGCCTCTAGGCTCTCTGGTCCTGGCCTTTCGACCGCGGGCGCACGGTTTAGGGTTTGGGGGTTTTTGGGGGGTTTTGGGGGTTTTGGGTTTAGGGGTATAGTGTTTAGGGTTTAGGGTTGAGGGTTTAGGCTTTGGGGTTTCGGGGGTTGGGGTTTAGGGTTCCCGAGGCCGGCCCCAAGTATAGGAACCCTGTGACCCTTGCACCTTACGGCTCTGAAGCCGCTAAACTCCTCCTTCGCAAAGATGCTAAAGTGCAGAACTACAGGAATACATAAACCCTAAACCCTAAACCCGAGGCCGTGTACAGGAAGACATACGCTGTACCCCAAGCTCTACCATTCGGGACACTTGACATACGAAGCCCAACATCCAAACGGGAGCCACTCCTAATTGGCAACGAGGTGGGTGTAGAACTCCGCACAGACCTCTGACAAATCCACATCCCCGACCCTTACGAAGATCGCTCACAACAAAAAGCTACGGATCCTGGACACCGACAACAAGGAGCCGCAAAAAACCGACACCAAGAGCACCGCATCCTGAACCCCCAAACGCTAAACCCTGAAGCTCGAACCCTGAACCCAAAACCCTACACCTCAGGCCCCGTACCTTCATCAACTCCCACACCCTAACATCATCAACTCCCAAGCCCTAAAACGGAGACACCCCTGAACCCTAAACTCTACGCTGTAGACCCCCTCAACCCTACAACCCGAAACCCTTAAATCCCCCCAAAATCCGCAACCAGAACCCCAAACACTAAACCCTAAATTCTAGACCCCAAACCCTAAATTCTGGACCCCAAACCCTAAAATCCCCCCCAAACTCCCCAGGCTGCGGTACACCAAGAACCCCAAGACGCCGGAGGAAATCAAGGCCGCCCCCAAGGCAGCCCCGCCGTTCTTGGTGTCCTTTTCTTTTTTTCCTCGGGGAGATGACGTTAAATTAGGGTTTCGGGGTTTAGGGTCTCGGGTTTTAGGGGTTTAGGGTTTTAGGGTTTCGGGTTTCGGGTTTCGGGCTTAGGGTGTAGGGTTTAGGGGTTCGGGGTTTGGGGGCATTTAGGGCTTCGGGTTTAGGCTTTAGGGTTGATGGTTTAGGGGTTCGGGGTTTGGGGGCAGGGCTGGCTGGCAGGCGTTTAGGGCTTTGGAGCTGGGGCTTTTTAGGGTTTAGAGCTCCTTTAAAGGATTCCTTCTGGTTCCGTTGAGGATTCCTTTAAGGGTTCCATGAGGCGTATGGTTTGCGGTTCAGGGCCTTCGGGTTTTATGTTATGCTTTTCCATAGTTTTTCTTCGTGTATATATGTACCTGGTATGTGTGCATACACACATGCATACATACACACATGCGTACACACATACATACATGCATACATTCCCTAAGCCCTAGACCCTAAACCCTAAACCCGACACCCCAAATCCTAAACCCTACACCCTAAACCCTAAATCCCAAACCCTAAATCCTAGACCCTAAACCCCAAACCCCAAACCCTAAACCCCAAACCTAAACCCTAGACCCTAAACCCCTAAAGATCCCCTTTAAAAGGAACCCGTATAGTACCCTCTAAAGGAGCCCTTATAGTACTCTTTAAAGGAACCCTACACCCTAAACCCTAAACCCTAAACCCTCAATCCCAAACCCTAAACCCTAAACCCTAAACCCTAGAATCCCTAGAAACCCTAGACCTCTTAGAAGAGTTGCCTCCACGTCTCAGACCTCAGGCCAAGGAGGCCCACGATGCCGCCGTGCAGGGCGACACCGTCGGCGATCCCTTCAAGGACCTGTTGTGGTGTAGGGTTTAGGGTTTAGGGTTTAGGGCTTGAAAGCTTTAGGGTTTAGGCTTGAAAGCTTTAGGGTTTAGGCTTTAGGGTTTGAAAGCTTTAGGGTTTGGGCTTGAAAGCTTTAGGGTTTAGGGTTTAGGGTTTGAAAGCTTTAGGGTTTAGGGCTTGGAAGCTTTAGGGTTTGGGGCTTAGGGTTTGGGCTTGAAAGCTTTAGGGTTTAGGGTTTAGGCTTGAAAACTTCAGGGTTTAGGGTTCAGGCTTGAAAGCTTTCGGGCTTTGGGGTTTAGGGTTGGGGGCATGTTCTCTTCGTTCTAAAGCGGGTCATGTTTTTTCCAGGTTTTGTGGGTTTCTGGCGGCTTGAACGGATGCTCCCTTTCCCGGGGCCGTTCACGAGTAGGGGTCCTACTGTTCAGGGTTGTTCTTGGGCGATTTTTTGGCTTGGAGTTCCTTGTCCGCGCTTAGGGATTTTGAGTTTTGTGCTTTGTTTGTTGTTTGTATGTTTGTCGGATGTTTGGCGGCTCATTGCCGGCTCTGGAAGTGGCACACAGAGGTTGTCCGGGGTTCAAAAACAGGAAATTGGATCTGTGACTTGTCAGTAGGAACATCCCCATGTAGCCCTCAAGTATTGGCTCTGGGAAAACCTCAAACCCTAAACCTTCGTAGAACCTTGATGGAATCCCTGTAGAACCCGTAGAGAACCGTGATGGAACCCTTATGGAACTCTAGTGGAAGCCCTTATACTAGAAAGCCTCTTGTGAACCCTCCCTTTGGCAACCCTGGGAAGGAAACCCGGAACCCTAAACCCGAAGCCCTAAACCCTAAACCCGGAACCCCAAACCCGAAGCCCTAAACCCTAAATCCTAAATCCGAAACCCTGAACCCCAAACCCCCCAAAGCCCGGAGGACACCTCCGGCCCTGCCCTGAACATTGTGATGAAGCTGCAGGCCTCGGCAGGGCTTCTTGTTCCTGCAAAGGTTCGTTTTTGAAGGGTGTGCAAGCCTCCGGACGGGGCGCTGCTTCTTTTTTCGGGTTGGCAGCGTTTTTTTGAAGGGGGTCTATGAGGGGTTCTACAGGGTCAGGTTTTGTAAATCCTCCTTTCATTGTGTTTCTGAAGGGTTCGAGATTCTCTGTTTTGGGTTCTATCGCAGAGCTTTGCAAGAGTAACCCTAAACTCTAAACTCATCGCTGCGCTAGCACGCTGCATCCATAAGTGCCAGCTCGCTGCAGCATCGGCTGCCGATGCTATGTCCTGTTTCTTGAAAGGTACTCTGCTAGACTTTACTACACTGCACTACACTGCACTACACTACGCTACACTTCACTACACTACACTATACTATACTATACTACACTATGTGATCGCGTCGTATTTTAGCGTGACATTACTAGAGAGGCCATCGTCTCCCTTGTCTTTGCGGCCTACTTCGCGGCCATCAACCATGGACACGGCTTTTTCGGCCAGATGGCGCTGTGAGGCTCGCCGGAGGCTTGAGGAAAGGGGCCGTGAATAACTGGCATAGGGCTCCTTGAAAGAAATCTTTATAAGGGTCTCTCATAAGGGTCCTTATCAGGTTCCATGAAAGAGTTCTTATAAGGGCTCCTTATAATGGTTCCATAAAAGAAGGGGTTTTGGTATCTTTAGGTGTGGGTGTTCGGATGTTTACCGCCCGGATGGCTGAGCAGATGGGCGTTTCGAAAAAAGAAAGCCCCCATTATAGCCCCGACATAGCACAGCCTTCTCTCACAATGACCCCCCCAAGTACGGTATCCCGAGTTCAGTAAACCCTAAACCCTAAACCTAAGCCCCTAAACCCTAGTTCAGTAGACTGCGCTGCCACTGCACGGTGCGCAAGCAGTCGAAGCTTAGTGTGCCAGGCCCGTCGCCGTGCCTTTCGTGAGAGACACCCCCGGGCTGCGGTGCGCGAACGACAGGGATCTAGCAGACTTCCGGCCCGACATTCGAAAACCGGCATTTTTCTTATGCTTTGAATGCAAAGCCCAAGCGCAATCCCAAAGCCTGCACTCAGGGGTGAAAAGTAGGGGGCCATAATCATAATCATGTCACCTAGTTTTATGGGGTTCCAAGCCGTATCATAGGATTCGACTTTTTGTCTTTACTGTGAGGCTTCGCTTCGTAGTCTAGCCGAGTGGAGTGGAGATGCGGAGGAGTTATAGTCTGCGCTTGGAGACCATAGGCCTGTAGCAAGAGACGCCCTAAACTCCCCCCTTGAGCCCACACCGAAGACCCCAACAAGGAGGTAGGATCAGAGTTATACTATAGTATACCCCAAAGCACTGGTACTATAACATAATCCAAAGCCTTAGTGGAATCATTCAGGCCTCTACAGGAAAGCCTCCCAAAGCCTACAGCCGTTTGCAACACTCGAACATTCGGGCACCAGCTTGCCCGGCTTTCGGCCCGACAGCAAAAGGCAATTGGCCTTGACGCGTCGGTTGAGGCTATCATGAACAGCTGCGTAAACTTAACGTGTTATGATGTTTGTTCTAGTAGTTTTCGATCAAGCATTGGTTCATAATTAGTTAGACTATTTTTTTATGTTTACATGGACTGTTTATATGTTTACATGCACCCTGGTTGGGATTCTAAGTGGATATAAGTCTAGTTACACCCTGCTTGCTACAACCTGCTTTCTACGGGTCGCTGCGTTAAGCAGGGATTTGAGTTTTGGTCTAGTTGCTTTAAAAACTTGAGAAGAGTCAGATGAAGGGTTTTGTTATGAATGGAATTAATGGCTCTCTGCAAAAGGTACCTCTGCGACTTCGAGTTTGTAACATGTCCGGAACCGGGTTTTTGGAATGGTATACTGCAGTTATGTAGGGAAGCTGCCTTACGATAAAGGTCGCTGGGATTATTGCGAGACGTGCATGCACTTTTGGTCTCCAGACTTGTGGAACATGCTTCCAATCTTCCCAACCCTGGGTTTTTGAACATGCAAGGGGTTCAAAATTCAGAATCTACCAGGGTGTTGGCAAAGGGAGTTGAAGTGTCGTGGGTAGAGGGATTCCTTGCATGATGAAGTAAAGCGCCTGGGTAAGTTCGGGCATTCCTTGGTTTGGGGTCTAGGGTCTAGGGTTTAGGGTTTAGGGTTTAGGGTTTAGTTCCTTGGTTTAGGGTCTAGGGCTAATTGCGAGCTTCAGGATTTTGGGGTACAGGGCTCGCTCAGTAGAACCGTATAGGGGTACTGGCCCCTTTGCTCGTTTCTGTGCTCCAAGTCTTGGATGTAAAGAGCACCCTAAGCCCTAAACCCTAAGAATGCGTCCACGACCTCAATCTCAAGGATTCACCTTGACCTCTGCGTGTAGGGTGTAGTTGAGGCAGGAGTAGAGCCTAGGATGACATAGAAGCCTAAATAATCACAAATCTCATTTCTTAGGGTTCCTTATCAAACTAGTATTAGAAAAAAGCCCAAACCCCAATCTTGACTTTTAAGGCCACACATGGCCCTAGATTAGGTCAAGCCCATCTTGTCCGACGCCTATGTTGTTTGCTGTGTTTCCGTTTTGCCAGGACTGTTCATTCTCTGCCGTAGGGTTCGATTCCCAGGATTCAACAAGGATCATCCGCTTCCGCTCCGATTGGCGAGGGCAACTCTGCGCTGCAAAGGTTCACTGGCGAAGTAAACCATACTTCATGTAGGGGCCTACCAGTACTAATACTATTTCCCTAAACCCTAAACCCTAAATGGTTACCAATATTATTTTGGAGGTTCCTTGGTATAATTGTAGTTTTATGGGCCCTCGAAGGTTTACGGGAAGTGATAGCTTGGGTTTGTTGTGTTTTCCCTCCAGTAGCATTTTCTTTTCGTTATAGACTTAAGCATAAGCACATAAGCAGAAGCATAAACATAAACACACATGCATGAACAAATTAATAAATTGACTTAATGAGCGGATTCACTAATGAAGGACTGATTCCAAAACTGAACGAATGAGTGTATGAAGGAACCATTCCTCGACGCGACGCGAGCAGAAGCGAACTTTTTGTGCTATGCGAGACGAAGAGTCGTGGATCATCTAGGCCGAACCTGTCGCAGAGGGTTTAGGGTTTAGGGATTAGAGGGCCCGCGCTTGAAACCCTCCACCACCCTAGACCTTAAGCCCTAAACCTTAAACCCTAGACCCTAAACCTTAAACCCCAAGCCCATGATTGCCCATAGTGCTGACACGAACCTCGACATGGAGGTCCATGTGTAACCGTGGTTACAAGTACTTCTCCCGGCCCCCTACCCGTAGAGGCACTCCGTACCCTACTTGCCCATACTATAGAATATCTCTCTCTCTCTCTCTCTCTCTCTCTCTCGCTCTCTCTCTCGTACACATATATATCTATATATATGTTTATATTTACATTGATATTTATACATACATATATATATATACATATACTATATATATATATACATATATATATACTATATATATATATACTATATATATATATACTATATATATACTATATATATACTATATATATATATACTATATATATATATACAACCATCATCACAAATACATGCATGATTGCTTTGACTTTGAGTGGTTCCAGTTCGGGCTCGCGCTTCAAGCTTAGGATTCTAATGAAACTTTCAACCCTAAACCAAACTTCAAGCCTTCAACCCCGGCAAGACCTAGGGTTTAGGGTTTAGGATTTAGGGTTTAGGGTTTAGGGCTTAGACCCTAAGCCCGACAAAGGAGCTTGAAGTGACAGGCATTCGGAGTCGCGTTCTGCGCATCTTGCCGCTCGCGCTTCCGTCGGAGCCCTTGCCACCACGGCCCGAAGCAAATCCTTACAAGCTCACAAATCCCAGAACCCCACAACCTCCCAACACCCCAAACCCTACACCCCAAACCCTACACCCCAAATCCTAAACCCCAAACCCTAAACCCCAAATCCTAAACCCCAAATCCTAAACCCCAAATCCTAAACCCCAAATCCCTAAACCCGGCAGCTTGCGAGAGCTGACGGCTGGCGAGGGGACTGACTGAAGCGGCTCTGAAGTGCGGCGACGCCACAAGAAAAGGGTTTCCGAGTAGGGTTTAGGGTTTAGGGTTTAGGGACAAGAAGAATGATTTTCGAGACGGTCATGTTCAATTTTGGGGTTTACCCTAAACTCTAAACCCTAAACCCTAAAGCCGCAAGAAAATGATGTCCGAGACGGTCATGTTCAATTATTGGGGTTTAGGGGTTCCTAGTTTATGGTCCGTGCTTGGGGGCCGTAGGGTTCAAGTGGTTGAACTCAGGTTTTAGGGCTCGAGGGTTTGGGGTTGGGCATAGGATTTCGCCAACCAGGTCAGCTCCAAGACGCAGAGTTTTTTAGCAGGAGTTGGATTCCCCAGAGAACCCAATACCGCTTAACTTAATTAAGGAATATGCCCTTAAATTATGGGGGCTTCAATATTTCGATTTAGGGTATATTCCTTATTTAAGGGGTATTGAGCTCTCTGGGTCCCTGTTACAGGCGAGGCGCAGGCATCAGCATTGTCGCCGAATTCCGCAGCCACTTGGTAGACAGATTCCGCTCTTTTGGCCCAGCGCTTCTCCAGGCCCTGGGATGGTGCTGACGGGGGGTTTACACAAGGTTCTATAGACGCTTTATGAGGATTCTGGACTACTAAGGTTCTGTAAGGGCCCCTGAAGCAAGGGTTCTGTCGGGATTGTCGACGCTCTCCACGACATAAGTTTGGAGGCTCATGGGGCTTATCTCCTCCTGCGTTGCCTTAGTTACGGGCCTTGTGATTTTCCCTTGGGCCCTGGCCTAGTGCTAAACCCTAAACCCTAAACCCTAAACCCTATCCTAAACCGTCCACCAGCAGTAGCAGAGCATGGAAGCCCTGTTCTTCATCGGGCATGACTGGGCCAGTCGGGATTCGTGATGCCAGAAGTGATAGCTCGGAAGTCTGCGTTGTTTTCGGTTTGAGCGCTGCAAAGAGTTGAACCCCCTAAACCCTAAACCCTAAACCCCTAAACCCTAAACCCCTAAAAGTGTCGAATGCGACGCCTTGGTCCCAAGTCTGAACCCTCCAGCTTCCATGTGCCCCACCCAAGACTCCAGAGGGCAGTGGAGCCCCTGTTTCCCCTCCACCCCCCTGCCCTAAGCCCTGGCCCCTGAAGCTCAATTTCCACACCTGAAAATTCCCAAAACTCTGTAGCCTAAACTCACTCACCCCGGACCCCGGAACAGCCGAAAGATGCCACTGTCGCAGGGGGCCATGCTTCCGGTGGATTGGATTATCGTCCCCTCCTGCGGGGTAGGAGCCGCCGCTGCAGCATGGAGTTTGCGGGCCAGGTTTTGCATGTTCCGCTCACTCTACTAACACCACGGAACACCTTTTCTCCTAAAGCCTTAAGCGCTCAAACACAACTGGGCTTTGTCTCCTTGGGAATTTTTGATGCGAAGTTGAAGCTCCTTTGGGTTTCCGTATTTAAGAGGTTCCTCGTAAAGAACCTAAATAGTAGACTCCTTTATACAAAAGACCCGGAAGATGGGGCCCCCGGTCGTGTGAGAGCGCCTGTTGGGTTGTCGCTCTGATTCTGTCCATGGCACAGAGGACTCGTCGCAGCTCTATTCCAGTTCCTGATCATCAAGCGCCTTGGTGTTTAGTGTTTAGGGTTTGGGGTTTAGGGTTTGGTACCTGTACCTGAGGTGCAGGGTCTAGGCCCTAAGCTGCCCTCAGCTGAAGCCACAAAAAGCTTGAACCCACAGACCTCGCTGGATCTAAACCCCGTAAACCCTCTAGTAACCCAGCAACAAGGCACCCCCCCCCCCAGTGTTGTTCTCAATACATCAGTGATTAAAGCTCTGATGGTGACTTGAGGATGAAAACCCCCTAAACCCTAAACCGTGGATACTCACGCCACTCTTGTCGGTTGTCTGAAATGCAGTGATTGGTCGACATAGGCTCGCGGTTAGCTTTCTTTGATGGCTCTGTACGTGTGCACTACCCCACGCACCCGGGCTATGGGAGATGTGGTGCATTCCTCATTCTGGAACCACGCAGGGTTGTCGTCCATCAGAGTGTAACCCTAAACCCTAAATCCTAAACCCTAAATCCTAAACCCCTAAACCCTAAACCCAGGGTTTTCGTCAGTCAAGAGTAGTAGTCAAGTAGTCCATCTTGACCTTGGGCCCTAAAGGAAACTGTCATGGGGCCATAATTTGAAACCTCCTCCATGCGGATTCGGTTGAACAGTGGCCGCTTGTGATATAGAGGCTGACATGTTTTTTCTACTGTTATGGGATTTTAAAGGGCTTGTTGTGTTGTTATGAGTTGGTTACATCTGCAAGACGAGGGTTCGGTTGAGTTAGCCTGTAGAGCTGAAATATCTACTTCTTGTTGTGGGTGTCTTGGGTTGGTGGGGTGACTTCCGGATTCCGATTATCGAAGTAGCGAGTTTTTGCTCATGACTGATGCGGAGCCCTGAGCCTTACTTCGACTAAGCCAGCAAGGAAGATCAACCCTAAACCCTAAACCCTGAACCCTGAACCTTCAACTCCACCCCAAGGAATCAACCCTAAACCCTAAGCGCTAGGCCCTAAACCTTAGACCCCACCCCCAAGATCCCCCGAGGAAGATCAACCCTAAACCCTAAACCCTAAGCCCTCAACCTTAGAATCCACCCCAAGGAAGATCAACTCTAAACTCTAAACCCTAAACCCTGAACCTTCGACTCCACCCCCAAGGAAGATCAAGCTGCAGCCGGATGATGACTCTGAGGCATCGCTGGAGTTTGGGGCCCGCTGGATTAGGGGTTAGGGTTCAGGGGTTAGGGTTCAGGGGTTTAGGGTTTAGGGTTTAGGGGTTTAGGGTTTAGGGGCTTAGGGTTTCAGGGTTTCGGGGTTAGGGTTTAGGGGTTTAGGGTTTGGGGGTTTAGGGTTTAGGGGTTTAGGGGTTTAGGGTTCCGCATGCATGGAGAACCGAGTCAAGCTGTCAGAGGGTTGAAGCGTTTGTATAGTTACGGGTTTCGCATGTGATTTTCTTCGGGAGACCCCATCAAGAGCCCTCACAAGGAACCCGTTAAAGGCCATCAAGACAGGCTTGAAAAAGGTTACAAAAACTCTGGTACGACATCCCTGGAAAGAATTCTTTAAAGCTTGGTTAAGTGCCAGGTCAAAATTGCACGTCAAAACCATCTGAGCACGCAGTTAGAAACGGTTGTAGCAGCCCTACTAGCAATCCTTCAAAAACCTCACTGTCATTGCAAACAATTTAAGGACCCAATAGGTACTAACCACCTTTGAAACCGTGCAAACAGCCTTTTAGCAACCCTAAACCCTAAACCCCAAACCCGAAACCCTCAAGAAAGAAATAAATAGAAATTGCTTGTGGCTGATGGCCATCCGGAAGCTCGTTTTTTCGGTCGGGTCACACAACCTTTCCATTTTCTAATAAACAAATTTCCGTTTCAGCGCAGCCCGTCCAGCCCCAGCCCCAGCCCCCAGCCATGTTCTTTTGGAAAAACCAATTTTCGCTTCAGGGCGCAACAGCCCAGCCCCAGCCCAGCTGCAACCCTGGCCCAGTCCAGCCCTACACTCGCCAGCCCACCAGCCCCAGCCCACCAACCAGCCCCAGCTAGCCCAGCCCCCAGCCCCAGCCCCCAGCCCAGCCCAGCCAGCGCCAGATTTAAGATATGGTTCCAAAACAAAAACTGCCCAAAACTTTAGGTCAAAACGTTTCGGTCAAAACTTGTTGGCACCCAAAAACCCTTAACAATTTCTATAAACCCTAAACTCCAAAACCTATAAACCCTAACCCTAAACCCAGCAACCGTCACGAAGCCTCATGGCGCAGGCTTCCACGGACCTGAAGAAGCGCCTCATGGCTGGCGGCGTCGCGTGGCTTTTTGGGCTCTGTTTTCGGGCTCATGGTTTAGGGTTGAGGGTTTAGGGTTTAGGGTACTACAAGTCTTATACAAGGGGTTTGGGGGCTTTAGGGCTCCTTTAAGGGCTCCTGCGGCAGCAGCAGCAGCAGCATTCAAGCTCGAACGTGGAACCCCCCGGTTGGAGAGTTTGATCAGGGTACACTTTAGACATGTCTCTCCATAACTAGTACTAGTTGTTCAGACCCCTCAGTAAGATTCTTGTTATCAGGACCCGAATTTTCCTAAACTTCAAACAACTATGGGACCCTTCTGGGAACCCTTCCGGGATCTGTCTATCATATTATTCTGAACCGCTTCTGCAACCGCCACTGCCGCGACCGCCGCCGCTACCGGTACAGTTGCTGCTAGGCTACTGCTGCTGCTGCTGCTGCTGCTGCTTCGGCTACTGCTGCCGCTGCTACTACTACTGTGGTGGCTCCCGAGAAGCTTCGTCCCAAACCACATAGGCTGCGCAGGATCGAGTGTATTTGTGGTTTAAAGTTCATTGTTTCGCCGTGTCATCAAGGTGCTGGGCATAGATTGGGGCCCTTTTACTACCCAGCAGTCAGTCTGCAAGAAAGCCACGTCGTCGAAATCCGAGGAGAACGCCCCGGAGAAGCTTGTTCCAGAGATCTACGAGAAGACGGGCTTTCTTGTGTTGCTAGACGGGATCCTAAAAGGAGTTGCAACAATCCTTATACTTCCCTTGCATCCCTTGCAATAGCCTTCTATGCCGTTTCAGTAGCCTTATAGCCCCTTTACAGAAACACCCTCACAGAAGGGATGACAAAGGGCTCTATAAGGATTTCGGGTTGGGCTTCCTTGAATCGGAAATACCCGGAGAGCTCTATCCCCCGCAATCAGGGAATATTCCCTGGGTCGCAATGAGACATCTACCTATCTACTTACCTATCTATCAATAAATCTATCTTTCTATTCTATCCTCATCTACTCAAATCTAACCTAATCTTATCTAACCTCACCTTATCAAATCCCAATCTAATCTAATCTAGTCTAATCTAGTCTGATCCAGTCTAGTCTAATCTGATCTAAGCCAATCTATCTATATCCATATCTGTCTACCTACCTACCTACCTACCTGCCTGCCTGCCTGCCTACCTGCCTACCTGTCTATCTCTCCCCCTCTCTCTCTCTCTCTCTCTCTCTCTCTCTCTCTCTCTCTCATCCAATTGGAATCCTAGGCCCCAGCTCACGATCCGAGACTCGAAACTCACCCTTTCCCGAAACCCGTAGATGCTGAGCCCTGTCTTTTAAGCAGCATCCTAGACCGAAAAAGGGCCTTAAATCCTAAACCCTACACCTTTATTATAGCCCAAGCCCTAAATCCTAAACCCTGAACCTTTATAGCCCAAGCCCTAAATCCTAAACCCTAAACCCTAAACCTTTATAGCCCAAGCCCTACATCCTAAACCGGCAGGATCATGAGCGGCGCCAAGCAGTTTTTGAGGGTGCCGGGCTAAGAGCTCCGCGGTTCCGTCTGCTTCTCTTTCAGGATCCCTGATTCAGGGGGCCCGAGGCCCGAAACCCTAAGAAGCCCCCATGATGATGCTGCTGCTGATGATGATGAACATGACGGTGAAGCATCCTTGAACTCTCTGAGACCCCTCACTTCCTTCCGAAAGCCCTCCGAGGTGGAGTACGCCATCTGCATGGGCTTCTGTCTCATCTTCTCCCTCGTGATCTACGGCCTCGTGCAGCTTGGGCCGCAGGAAGGGCGGCCAGGTCTGGCTTACAGCCGCCGCTTATGTTTGAAATATGCAGCCCGGTCGACATATACATGTCTACATTTTAAACAGTGCTCGGACGGCCAACTTGAGCAAGGTGTCTCAAGCTGCTCTTGAGCGCCACAGTCCAAGCCTAAACCCTTAAGGCCCAAGATGCTATGGCGAGTGCCTACCTAAGAGAGCATCTGCAACATCAGGTTCTAGCGTCAAGGGTTTAGGGTCCCTAAACCCTGAACCCTAATCCCTAATCCCTGAGCTCCCTAAACCCTGAACCCTAATCCCTAAACCCTATGCTCCCTAAACCCTGAACCCTAATCCCTAAACCCTCGCAGGTCCTGGGGCACCAAGAGCGGCCTACAGGGGCAGCTGACGGCCGGAGCCTTCCTGACAGGCCGACCGGCGGGGGGGCCACGCGGCCCCGGGTTCCTGTGGGGTTTTTTTAGGGGTTCCTTTAAGGGTTACTATAGAGGGGTATTGCAGGGTTCCTTTAAGGGTTACTATATGGGTTTTATAGGCGTCGGTTTTGCCAGGAACCCAGAGACTCCAAAACTAAACCCTAAACCCTAAACCCTAAACCCCTTTAATCAAGGAATGTACCTTAGAGGAGGGAGTCTTCCTATGTAGGGCTAGAGGGCTGGCTGGTTTCCACACAGACATGAAGTAAGGTTGATAAAACATAGGGGCCTTTAGAAGTACCTATACTATGTTGGGGCTCTTTGTCATAGTTATATGGTATAGTATGCCGTAATATACCCAAAAGCCCTATATTCATTATTAAGGCTCCTACCATTAGTGGGACCGACCGAGTTGCCTGCAGATTTTTCTTCCGGGACCTCGCCCAAAGCCCGAAACCGTCTCTCAAGCGCAGCCCGGAAGCGCCCTATCAAAAAAGACAAAACCTAATATGGTGCCTTAATAATTAGAATAGGGTTCCTTTTTCAGGATTGCTTTTAAGCGCTTCGCAGAAGGGAGATCACAGGAGGAGAAGATGCTGAACACGACGTTTTGGACATTTTTTGTTGGGTCCTTCAGGGTCATTCAATCTTAGGGGGGTCGGAGTAAGTAACCCTAAACCCTAAACCCTAAATCCTATTAATGTGTCGTTATAGCCCGTGCATTTTTAAACCGTATTCCCAGACCCTCGCAGGCCCGGAGTTCAGGTGAGCCATCCCCGCGGCTACATGGATTTGTGGAGTTTAGGGTTTTCAGTTTTTCAGGGTTTTGCAGTTTTGGGTTATAGGGTTTACAGGGTTTACTGTAGGGTTGCGAGACTTGCGATGTGGAGGTGCTTTCACCTCCATGCTGTGCGGCTTCCTGGGCATGATGATTGCCACATTTTCCAACGCCCGCACTACGCTGGCGTGTGCTCATCATGGTGACTCGGAAGCACTACGACCATTGCAGATGAAGGTCAGTTGAGACAGAAGTTGAATAGAAATATAAGACCCTTAGGTTACACCTTGGGCTTCAACACCGCCTTCCGTGGCGGCAGCGTCATGGGCTATGCGCTGTGCTCCTTGGGTGTCTTCGTTCTCTGGGTTTTGCTGAGCTTCTACCGCACCATCTACCCGGAGGCTGACGACTGGGAGATCCTCTTCGACTGTGCGGCCGGCTATGGCCTGGGTGGCAGCACCGTTGCCATGTTCGGCCGTGTCGGCGGAGGTATCTACACCAAGGC